CAATTAATTTCTTTCTATTTTTAGTAGAGACGGGGTCTCGCTCTTGCTCAGGCTGGTCTCGAACTCCTGAGCTCAAACAATCCACCCGCCTTGGCCTCCCAGAGTGCTAGGATTACAGGTGTGAGCCACTGTGCCCGGCCAGAGAATATATAATATTTTGAAAAGACACCGTGATTTCCTGGCAAAGAACTTTAGGCACCATCATTTAGGCTGAAAATCATAAACTAGTTTCCTTCTTCAACAATAAGGATATTTCCCAACGTTGTTCAAGTAAGATGTGAGGATTCCCTGATTTTCATCCTCTTAGAGCCATATCCCTTTTTCACATTAGTTCTCTTCCATATGTGGGGGAGGGCAGCACCTTAAAGCAAAGCTGTGCTAAATGATTCACATTCATTTTCTCACATTAGGCTTCCCAATATATGTTTAAGATAAACAGGATCATACAGACAGAAACAGAGTCTCAGGGAGGTTAAGTCATTTGCCTAAGATGACACAGTAATTAGCGGCATTAGTATTAATATTTAGACCTAAGAGCATGAGTCCACTGTCTGTGTTCTTCCCATTTCATTCACCCATCATGCTTCGATGTGTAACATTAAGATCATAAGAGAGTGGGGCGCTGGGGCTGAAGCCTGTAATCCCAGCTACTCCGGAGGCTGAGGTGGGAGGATCGCTTTAGCCCAAAAGTTAGAGGCTGCAAAGAGCTATAATTGCACCACTGCACTCCAGCCTAGGCGACAGAGCACAACCTTGTCTCAGGGAAAAAAAAAAAAAAAAAAAAGATCACAGGGGCTCAACTGGTCCTAGTCAGCTGATTTACCTTCATCTACCACACATGCGCCCAATCCATCAAAGGCAACTGTTCAATCAGTAAAGGCTTTTTCTTTGAGGCAACAAAACCTTACGCATCATAGCAGGCTAGTGTACTGTCTGGGTTTGAATGCTGCTTGTGGGACTTTGGATAAGATACATCAGTTTCATCTCACGTAAAGCGGAATAAAGTTTTATGAGAATCATGAGTCCTCATTCACGTAAAACACCTAACACAGTACCTAACACACAGCAAATCTTCAATCGCTGTTCGCTACTATTAGTATTTGAAACACATAGTACCACTGAAGCCAATTTCCCAGGAACCTATCTTTATTTTCTTTCCTATGACTATTCATTCGACTCTTCAGCTCTCTTTCTCTCATTTATATATTAAATTGGAATGGATGGTGCTTAATTCATTAAAGTGGTCTGTATAACAATTGTATTTTTTATAGATTCAACAGAATTGTCTGCAAAATGGGGTCACCAAGCAGCTGGCACTTCGAGAGAAGTCACTAAGGCTTGTTCTAAACAATCCATTTACATTTTTGCTGAATCTACAAAAGGAGGAACAATATAGTCCTATTGACTGTTGTGTAAAGTTTTTTTCTTTCTAAAATGTGTCACCTACATGTAACAGAACACTCATTTAGCCAATTATTTATTACTTTTTGGTCACAGATGCCTCATTTGCAAAAAAAAATAACATAAAATACACACCTGCTTCGGCAGCAACACATACTAAAATAAAATAAGGAAAATAAGATAAAGGAAATAATGTTGACCTTTCTTAGGAGGGTATTATAATCAATTGTTTTAATTATAATTAACAACTCCAAAAATAGTGAATGTACAATGGAAGTTTCCAAATTCAAAAAAAAGGAGTAATAAAAACTGACTTACAAAGGGAAGGATGAGTAACTCTGATATTTCATCCATATTTATAAAATGGTAGAAAAAATAAATAGAAAGGGGGAAAAATTGACAAAGTGTTTGTAGGTGAAAAATAAATCCCTTAAGACCTCCAGTCAAGAATGATTTCCTTATTATTACAGTGATTTAAAAAATACGTTATATTTCTGATTAGTATTTAAACGCATGAGAAAAAACGCTTACGATGCATTAAATAGATAGGAAGGATGATAGATACGTAGGAAGCCAGAATGAAAAACACTTATTAGAAGAAAATATACTAAATTATTTGCATTATTATTTTAGATGAGTAGGTAGGTGATTTTTTGTTTTCTTCTTTGGGGGCTGAAGCAATCAGGCTTTGGAACAAACAGATATAGCAAGGGAGACAGACCTGGCAGGGTTCTAAGCAGGAGCAAGGATATAAACCAACACAACCCAACCCTCTAAAAATGCACCCTGCAGTGAGAAGCTCTCCAAATCCGCCCTGGCAGCCAGGGAGCATTTCCCACACAGGGGTGTGCAGGTACATTTGTACCTAGAGCACTGAGAAGTAGCTGGGCTGCCTCTCCATTTGTATACTGACCCCCAAAGCACACAGAACTGTTTTTATATATCAACTGTTTGCTGAATCCATAGTACTTCAGAAAGGCTTTTCCATATGTACTTTAGAAAACGCCAACGTCAATAGTTCAAAGAATGTAGCCCAGGCAGGCATGATTCCATTACAAAAGCAGAATTCACTTCTCAAACACAGGGAGTTATGTGTGTCTCCTTTCTGGCTGAAATAAAGAGAAAAGAAATCTATTCTTCAAGGCTAATTGTTTCTGACTCGCGAACCTTTCCAAAAGACTCACCCATGTGACTTATTTTTTAGATATTTTGAATTTTTAAGTCCAGCTTGTTGCTACTGCTGATTCTTCAAGTTTTCACCACCAGCCTTTACCGAATGGAGATATTTCTACATCACAGCTCCTCCCTTGCCACGCAGAGTCCTGCGTGAGGCTGTCTTCTAATGCCTCGTGTGCCTCATGCCGCTTTCGCTGTCATAACCAACACTGCACTAGAATCAAGCCACTACTGGCTTATGTTTTCAAATTATAGAGCATATTTTCATGAGATTAAAAAATGTATTTACAAATCAATTCACCAATATTTACTGAGAACCTACCACGCACGGGGGCGGGGGTGGTGACTGCTGTACAAAATGGCGCACTGGCATGGTTTAACATAATGGGACACAAAGCCTTCTTAGTCCTAAACCATTACTGAGTATCAGCAAATAATTCTGCTGAGAGTTAGAGAACAGACTCAGATTTCAAAATTATTTCTCTCTCACTAATACTGTAATGAACAGAAATGTAAACCAAGAGATTCATTTCAGTTCCCCAAAGCTCCGGAAAACCAAAAGAAGTCTTTCTTCCATTCCAAAACTGCTCGGATGTGCTTAAGGACAGTATCCATTGCCCCACTGGTGATAGCATGAAGGGTTCCAATTACAACAGTTTCAATAACTTTATTCAATGACTCATGAAGGGGAGAAATTATTCTCAGACAAAATGCCAAAAAAAACAAAAAACAAAAAACCCTAAAAAACCCAAAAAACCAAACCCTAGTATTTGCTTTTGAATAATAAACACTTAAAAAAAAAAAAAAAAGCAAAGCTCAATATGATTCCTCGTTGCTAGTTATGTAAAATCAATATAATTATACTAATCATTTTATAAGTAGAATTAAATAATAAATAACCCAGCCCAGCAGGGATTACCATTTTGGAGTATATTATAAGGGTCCTTAGCACACAGAGGAAGCCAATTTAGCTCTTCCTTGCATTTCATTTCCTGTTTGATCTTACTAGACTGTTGCCATCAATTCAGTTAAATGATGCTTTATGTAGTTAAAATATAGCCAAAATACCATATTTCATGCAATAAAAGATATTTTTACACCGTACAGCTACAGTTCTGGTACCAACAGCCCGAAGGGAAAGACTTTAGACCAAACTGGATCTATTTAAACAGATTGACAAAACCACTTAAGTTGCCAAAAGTACAGACTTTCTTTTTAAGGGTTTCCTACCATGCTGATTGCAAAAGGAAATTGTTCCTTCAACACATTCTCCAATTTAGAATAGAAGAACTAGGAACATATATTTACTGAAGAGTTTATCAAGCTGAGGAATGCTTTAAATAAAGAGCCAAATAAGAAAGAGAAAGACTATAGTTACAAGTTTAATTTTCAAGGTCTGATAAACTCCCCTGTTGAATATCAAAATTGAATAGTACGATAGTCTCCATTTATAAGTATCAAAAATTCTTTTTCCTAGTCCTTGCTAATTTCTTAAGTTCCCCTGACACAGAACAAAGCACCGATCAATCTAACAGTTGTAGGAGTCCATATGCACACGGCACATTTAACGTTCAACAGATGAAAACTAATCTGAGATCCTGCCTAGGGACTTGCTTTCAAACATTCTCATAATTAGTCACTTGCTATCAAATTTGAATTAAGGGCATCTATATATAGTTTCCTTACTCCATCACAGCAGACTTTGTAGGAGAACTGAGGAGTTCGGAATAGAAGCCCCAAACAGCTGCATATCATGCCTCAGAGAGTTGTTGAAAACATCAAGACAAGCTGAAAATAACCTACTAGGCCTCGGAAGTCCTGCAATTATTTTCCAACATTCAAAGCCACCAGATTATCCTAAAACTAACACATATGTGGTATCTTTTAACATTCTTACGTCTATTGGGGGAAAAGGGGTACCTCATTGACCCCAAATATATTACCAGCAAATACCGTCCTGCTATCAAACTTAATACATTGTCCCTTAACGAGGACACAGGATGGAAGGAAACATGATCTTCCGAAGCAGATACTGTCTTGGGTTAAAAACTAGTGAACAGAATATTTCAATATACTTACATGAAGAAGTATTTGCTCCTTCTGTTGACACTGATATTCTAATGGGAGACTCTATAAAACATAAAAGTGCAATAAGGCTTTATTGAGTCATGCCGCTTGGACTCTTAAATTAGAAATTTGCCAGGCTTGGGTATCACCTAGAGAAAGAGGACTGGAACACCGTGCATCAGAAAAGCTGAAGCATTTTTAAGTCAAAAGAAGGTATGTGCAATATTCAAAGACCACAAAGGAGTATTTTTGTAGTCTAGACCTGAAGACCTTTGAAAGAGATGAAGATGGAGTCAGTCCATCTGCAAAGATATCCCACACGCCAATTGCTGTATGAACTTTTGACAAATACCGCTCTACACAGAGCCACACTACAGGTGAGACAGATAATTCCTTCTTGATTTTAAGAAACATAAAACCAAAAAGAACCTCTATATTTAGAGAGAATGAAAGTCAACTTTCATGCATACGAAAAAAAAAAAAAAAGAAAATATTTCCAGGCAACTTGGATGTGCATAAACATCCTGACCAAACACAGTGTGGAATAAAGTCCATGCAAGCTCGACTGGAGCAATTACATTAGGATCAAACAAAACATGCTGAATAAATAACACAATAGTTAGGGATGCAGAGTAGCAAGATTCTCTTAGGTAGCAAGGATAAAGGAAGGAAAACCAGTATTTAAGTATAGACAGAGCATAAAACATCTGTAGTGCAGG